GGTGGGATGCTATCCCTGCTTTCGTCTTGTTCAAGAGAGAAACCATTTGATAAGCAAGATGACGTGGATACCCTGAATTTTCTCCTGGTGGGATGCTATCCCTGGTTTCAATTTAGAAAGAAAGAATTAAGACTTTGACTTTGAAGAATTTATTGTAAGATTTCCAAGTTTTGCGCTGAGCGGGCGCGGGGTGGTAAAGCTGAGCACTGCCTGGGTCTGGGGGTGTGATCCTGCACCAAGCCTGGTCTCCTGGCTTAGGTCAGTGTGTGTGTCTCCTGGGAATCCAACATGCATCCTGGGAATCTGGCTGGCTCTTCTGCATTTTCTCCAAGAAAGTTAAGAATAGAATCATTCAGGTTGGAAAAGATCCTTGGGATCATCGAGTCCAACCATCAATCCTACTCTACAAAGTTTTCCTCTACACCATATTCCCCAAAAACGCATCTAAACGACTCTTAGCAGAGGTTTTCATTCCCTGGGAGCGGGACAGGAGGGTGAGAGCTGATCAATGGGAAGAGCCGATAGGGGAGGAGTTGTCTCTTTGAGGAATGTTCTTTTAAGTTTAACAAAGGGGAAAAAAAAAAAAAAGAGAAGAGTTCCCTAAAGAAATCAAATAAGTTTATTCTTTGTACCTATAGAATGGAACAAGAGAGAGAATCTATCCTCTAGCATTTAAAAAAAATTCTATAACAGGATTATAATTGTATGATAGTATAGGGATGGGTACATTAATAGCAACCCATAGTATGACCTCCCGTGGCTTTCCAACAGAAAATTCTAATTTTAGATGAAAGGGAGTTTCATTGGCCACAATACAGCGAATGGACCAAAGAGGACAAAAAGAGCAGAGGGAGGAAGAAATAGAAATTCTTCAAAAAAATTATTTTTTGATCTCTTCCCTTGAAAACAAGAGAGAGAGAGAAAGGAAAAGCCAAACCCTTTTGGCTGCCTTTTGGATGCTTTGTTCTTTTCCCTTGTTAGATATATCTTCTGAGCTGTTTTATCCTGTTGTGTTCTGGAAAATGATATTTGAAATGTCAAAACTTCAAGCCTCTTTTGTCAAGGCTTAAGCAGTTCCACTGAACTTTGAAGGAGACCCCAGCATGAGAGACATGAACTTTTGATGCTGCCTTAACTGATCGGGCTTTGATCAGCGTTGGGGAAGGAAGGCGGGGGGGAAAACACACAAACGCAAAAACCCAAACAAATCAGTCCCCTGATGTGCTGGTGGACCTTGTGGAGCTGGGAGGTGGTTGTGTAGCTGTGTACTGGTGTTCTCCATGGCACTGCAATGCTACTCGTAAAGCCAACAGCGCTTGAGGGACGTGTCCTACAACGGGGGTTCCCGGGAGGTGGTGGTGGTGGGTGGAGAGCTGCTGTGTTGTTACTGTATTCTCTTGTTTGGTTGATGGTTGTTTTACCCTGAGACCTAAATGTCTCTGTTTAAGGGGGGTTTCACCAAGCTTTTGAGTGGGAAGCTCAAAATTTGTGTTGAGGACGCCTGGGAGGGGCCAGGGTTAGCAGTAGAGGACAGCAGGGTGGAGGGTCTCTGCTGGGATCTGCTCCCTGGGGTCCACAGGTAGCGGCTGTAGTTGGGCTTCAGGCTGGGTGTGGGGGTGATTCGGGGGCTTTTTGAGGTCCTCAAAGCAGGTTTTCAGAGGGTGATTGGGAGTGGGATCTACTCATGGTGTGAGCCCCTCAGATTCCCTGTCACCTCCCATCTGTCCTCCTTGATTTCCCTCCGTTGAGAGACTGAGCATTGGTGAAAACAAGCCTGGCTGATGTTCTCAGCAAGCTAAAGACGTTTGAAACTGCTCCTGCTTAGAAAATGTTTGTTCTCGGTAGTTTCTAAAAGGATTTGATACTCAACCTGCCCTTTCAGGGCTTTTCAAGATGGTTTTGATAAGTGCGTGCTGGTGACTTTTGAAAACTGTTTTCTCTGTGTGGATTCTTTGAAAATAAAGAGAAAAAATGTGTGAAAAGGCTTTGAAATCTTCAGAATTTTAGCTTTCAAAATATTTGTAAAACGCCTTTTCCTGTTATTTTTTTGCCAGGCAAGCTATAAAGGGATCAAGGTTGGGATGTTTGTTTGTTTGTATTTTCAATGGGAGTGAAGGTGACGAGAGTGGCTGTGAACATCCCCAAAAATCTTACCCAGCTGAGCTGCAAGACACTCAGCTTCAAAGGTGTGAGAAGTTTCCTTGCTGGAAGTTGTCCTCTCTCTCCTAGGAAGGAAGGAAAGTGTTTACAATTAACTGAAAGCTTTAATTTCTCCAAGTTTGGTCAGTTTTTTTTCTTGGACTGGAGTAGAAAAACCTTGATTTTACACTGAACTTGAATTTGGGGATTTTGAATTCAAATGTTTTTTTTTTCTTCTTTTATTTTATTTTTTTTAAAACTTTTGCTATTGGGGATGATTTCTCAGACTTACTGAAATCAAAAGAAGTAATTAATCTTGAAAATACCAGGACTTTTCTATTTTATTTAAGTTACTGTTGCATTATATTTGGGAAGGTCTTTCTCTGTACAGAATATGGTGAGGCTTGATCAATTTGCGAATGCTTTCAAGCTGCCCAAATTTGTGGTTTTATATGGACACCTGACTTCTGCTGAAAGAGGTGCCATTAGCTCCTGGCCAGGTGTCACATTTTGGTGTTGATTTAGGAGGTGCCTTCCATAAGCAGATAGTTTTGGGGGTTTTATACTTGTAAAAGCAAACTTTCATCATCCAAAGAAGATGAAAATTTAGCAGCAAGGCCATGAATGTGCTTCTTCCTCTGAGAAGAGCTCAGCAGGAGGGGCTGGTGGGGAGCTCCAGAGGTCACCCCTCCATCACCCACCCTGACCATGGGGTCTCCTCCGTGTAGCAGCTCCTGGACCAGGATGCTCTGCCAGCTCGAGTCACCTTCGTCTTTATGAATACTAATTGTATGACTGTTTTATGTCTGATTTGCTCCTGTCCCTTCCAGGCTGGCTGTATTTTAACTAGAAGTGGGGTTCATTAAATAGGGATTTAATCGAGAGCTGGTGGTTTTGCTCTTTGGTCTTTGGGTGCGGAGGGAGTTGTCTGTAGCGGAGCCTCCAAATGTGCTTACGTGCTTCCCAGGGCTTCTTCTTTATTAGGGAACTACAAAAGTAAGGAAGAAGGCAAGATTGACAGGTTACTACATAGACACCTACACGTAAACAGTAAACACTCCCCCTGGGTTCATGATGCACTTCTGTTTGGTAAAATAAACCCGCAATAGTTATCCTTGGTATTTAAAGCTATCTTCCAATATTCATGGCAAAGAATGGTAATTAGAAATAAAATGACGTGGCTCTAAGGTACTTCTTTGTGCTCAGCTTTTCCATGCTTTCTGCTGGTGCCGTGGAGTTTAGCCGGCAATTTACTGCTGCCGTGTGTCTGATTGAGATGTATCCCGCAGCCCCGGTGATGCGGGCTCCTGCCTCGCTGTGTCTCCAGAGCAGCTGGATCCTGGATGTCTAATTTTCCTTTGCTTGAACAGTCAGTAGCTTGGCAGCCTCCGTTGGCTTTGAGTGTGGAGACGCGCCTGTGAATATGTTTCTGGTGTATAAACTGTGGAAGTGTAGAAGATTTGAATTCATGTGAAATTAGGGCCCGGATTTGTACGGTGCTGAGATCTCAGGATGCCTGAAAATGGGGTTGCTCACTGGAATATTTGACTTCAAGCTTTGCTTTTTTTTCACCTCTACATGGATAATGCGGCAGGGGATGAGGTTTAGAAGGGCTCCTTCTTGCTAAAGCGCCAGTGATTCTCTTCAAAAGGAAATCAGGAGTTTGTATTCAAGCAGGTTGATGTGAGGTGGTTCCTCCTATAGCTTTTGTTGTCCTGCTTTTTTAATCTCTTGGCTTTCCTTGAGCTAAGATCTTGTGCAGTGCTTAGGAAAATGATGTCCCAGCCCTTTACTAAGTGAAACAAGCCCTAAAGTTTCATGAAAACACACCCTGGATCTATAGACTTGCCATCCTTGGGTGATGGCTAAGAAGGATTTGAATCTTCAGGTAGTGGTTGCAAATTTTGCTCGTGTTGGCAAGTCCTAGCACTCAGTGGAAGGATGGCTGTGAGTTCCTGGGCTACCATGGCAGTTCCCCTTTGAAGGTTTCTTCTCCCCTCTTTTTAGAGGCTTTCACCCTGGTAACTTTTGCAAAACACCACTTAGTGGCAGAGGTTCTTTGGCTCCCCTCTGATCTGTGCGGCGCTATTATGGAGGCAGTCTTATAATCAATGTAATTGAAGATCAGAGTTAATGAGGACCTCTGTGCCTGCAAAATCCCCCAAGCGATGCTGGGCCTCAGATGTTAGATAAGGAAATGATTGGGCTGAACTGAAAATCTATTTGGCTAATTAGATGATGCATATTCCCAGGTGCCAGTGGGGAAAAAATGCATTTCACAAAATAAAGAAACGTAAGGTTTTGTAAGAAAAGATTTTTGGCAGGAATTCGCTTCTGACTCTCAGGAGGGAGAGGGTAAGGGAGTGTCTCTGATACGAGGCTGCTCCAACAAGGAGTTGTGTGTTGGGCCAGTTCTCTCACCTTCAACTAAAGAGGTGAGGTGGGAACGTGCTGCTGCTGCCCCTCCATGCCCTGACCTGGCATCCAGGTGTCTCACGGACACCACCTGCATCAGCTGGGGCAGTGATGCTCCAGATCAGAGGAGTTCCATTGGTCCATATTTCTGCAGGGGTCTGGGAATCAAATCCAGCGTCTTGTGATGGATGGGGCAGGGGAGTGTCTGGGCAGAGGAGTGTCCCAGCTGGTGGGCCACTTGTTGGGACACGTTTCTGTGGAGAGGAATGGTCAAATGAAGTTCTTTGGGTCCGAGTGTTGGTGACCTCGGTATTATTTTACTGATCTCAGCTTTGCAGCAGCTCCTGAAGAGTAGGATGTTCTGGTGTTGGGCAAAAATACATGGGTTTTTTTTTTTTCTTTTTCCTTTTTACACCCTCCTAACACACTCCTTTCCCACCCCCCAGGCAGCAGCTTCGTTGTGAGCGAAGGGAGCTACTTGGACATCTCCGACTGGCTTAACCCAGCCAAGCTGTCCCTCTACTATCAGATCAATGCCACATCCCCCTGGGTGAGAGACCTCTGTGGACAGAGGACCACTGATGCCTGTGAACAGCTGTGTGACCAAGAGACAGGTAAGGAAGTGCGAAGACCTTGGAAAGCTTGGAGATGTGAGGGTGAAGGTTTGTCTTTGGGTATTTTGATGCCTGCTGAGCTCACCTCACTTTAGCCTGGTGTTTAGGGATGGAAGACCAAGAGGTTCCAGCAGGGTCACACAGTGCTGATCCCCACCAGCAAAGTAGAAAGAAGGTGGGCACAAGGATGGGGAGTTGAAATGGTGGACTTATCAGTTCTTTGGTGTGGCAGCTGCAGGCACGTGGACTTTATCTGCTTCTGAGTTGTGCTATTTTGTTGTCCAGTCTGGAAGACCTACCCATGAGCTTGGCCCATCTCCATCCCTTTTAGTTTTTGACCATCCTGCCACGGTGCACCAGATTTCCCATTCGTGCTTCTGGCTGATGGTCACCTCGATCACATCTCCGACCCTTCCTCGTGGAGTTGCAGAATCTGCCATCTGTCCTCAGCTGTAAATGACCTTTTTGCTGAGCGTGTTCTGCTGGAACACGCTGCTGTGGGGCAGCAGCTAGTTCTGCTGGAACTCTGAAATGTGGGGCTGGGCAAAGGAGAAGTGTCACCTTTCCCTTCTGGGTGACAAAGGGGGATCTGGAGTGTGTGGGGAGCCAGGAACACAGAAACAGCAAATGTGCAACAAATGAAGGAAGGTATGGGGGCTACGTGGGTGGGAGATAAGTATGTGACCCCAGCCAACAGCTAGGCCTCAGGAGGTGACATCTCCTCAGCTGGTGTGGGTGACAGGACCTTGCACGGGAAGGTGGTTTGGGGACTGTGCTGTGTTTATGTGATGTGGGATGTGTGCCCTCTGCAGCAGTGAGCATCACTGCTGCTCCCCAGTGCCTCCCCTCGGGTGGGATGCCCTCTTGGTGGGATGGAGACAAGAGGCCCTGTTGCTCCTGGCATGGTCTTCAGCTGAAGAGCGTGCAAACCCCCTGTCTCCTCACAGAGATGTGCCGTTCCCAGTTACCCCAGCTCTCCTGTGAGCCACTTCCCTCCTCTCCTGGTAGTGAGCTTCTTCACCATGTGCTTGTGTGTGAGACTTGTGGCTGGGAGGAGGGATGTTGGTTTCTGATTTTGCTGGGGGTTTTGAAGAAGGTTGGCTCACAGAGGAGAAGGCTTTTTCTAAGCTTCCCACTGCCATGGACTGTCCTGTTAATACGTTAATAATAAGAAATTCTCCAGTCGTGAGCGCACTGTGGGTTGGTGGGGGTAACCCTGGTTTCATCCCTCCCTGCTCAGCTGAGATCCATATAATGAACTTGGGTCTCAAAAGCTCATTTTCCTGCTCAAGACAATGTTGTCTTCTTAGCATTCCTCTTCCTCAAAGCTTGTCTACACAGCAGCTCTGGCAGGCATCGCTGCAGCAGAATAATTACTCTGGATGAATTCCCCGTGTAGACAAGCCCTGGACATCACCTACAGTCCCAAGGAGGGCTGGGAGGTGGCAGCAGCCACCTCAGCAGATGGAGATGGGGCAGGAGGAGGCTCTTCTCATCCAGATGTCACGGAGCAGAAGGATGGTTTCAGGCATCGGCGAAATGCAGCCACCTCAGCGGGGAGAGGTCTGATGTCTTCCAGGGGAGCAGGAGGGAAAAAGCCCTGCCTCCAGCAGAAACCGTGGGGAGACCGTATGGAGACAGACTGTGACTCCCCCGTTGGAAGAGCCCTGTGGCTCTGCTCGCCCACCCCACGCCGTCCTTGGCACCGAGCAGGGCTGGTTCCATCCTCCATGGCCTCAGCTGTGAGGAACGGCTGTTTTCCCCTGCTGGCCCAGCTGCTGCCCCCCCCGTGTCCCCAGCTCACCGGAGCAGCTTGTTGCTCTCGTTGGATGCCCCACGCTTGAGCAGAATGTGTCAGATCTCGTTTGCAGGGAAGGGAGCGATGCTCGTTAGCCCAGGAGGTGCTCTGCTCCAGCACCACGCTGGATCCTAACCTCGCCAGCTGCTCTGCTGGGCCACGGAGATGCTGGGAGGGCTGGAGCCCCTCTGCTGTGAGGACAGGCTGAGAGAGTTGGGGGGGTTCAGCCTGGAGAAGAGAAGGCTCCAGGAAGACCTTAGAGCCCCTTCCAGTCCCTAAAGGGGCTCCAGGAAAGATGGGAGGGACTCTGGATCAGGGAGGAGAGCCATAGGACGAGGGGGAAGGGTTTTAAACTGAAAGAGCGGAGATTTCGATTAGATATTAGGGAGAAATTGTTCACTCTGAGGGTGGTGAGAGCCTGGCCCAGGTTGCCCAGAGAAGCTGTGGCTGCCCCATCCCTGGAGGGGTTCAAGGCCAGGCTGGATGGGGCTTAGAGCAACCTGGTGTGGTGGGAGGTGTCCCTGCCCAGGGCAGGGGTTTGGAACTGGCTGGTCTTTAAGGTCCCTTCCAACCCAAACCATTCTATGATTCTATGATTCTGCAGCTCCCATCCCCAATTCCCATCCTCCCGGCTGTGCCCGTGATGGGAGGTGAGGGCAGAGCAGCCTTGATCTCAACCTTCAGGCTCCTCACCCAAAATGTCCATCAGCTTCTTCCCTCTCTCTCCAGCCTGGGAGCTTCCACATGAATAAAGGAAAAGCTTTCTCCTGTCCGTACCGGTTGGATCCTCAAGAGCAGAGTGGGACTGGCCAGTGGGGCTGCTGATTTTCAGAGCCTAAATCTAAGACCTCCCCTAAGAGGTCCAAACTTCACAAGAGCTGAGCAACCACCCACTGAAAATTAGGCCTTTGGAAGTCACTTCTTGACCCCCTGCTCCAGGACATAGCCCCAAGCACCAGTTGTGGTCACCACCATTGACCAGCCTTCGGCCGGTGAGAAGTTTGCATGCTGGGCTGGGAGCAGAGCGTAACTCCATGATACACTGCATGTATTTTTAGATTTATTTTTATTAATGTCATTCTATTTTTAAGGGTGATTTATTTTTATCACCACGAGAGAGGCAAGCTGGTCGTTTTACTAGGGGACATAAATCCTGCCTAGATTTCAACCTTTTCAGGTCAGGGATTTTATCATCTCTATGAGCATCCCAAGGGATGGGTGCTGGGGGTTTCCCCTGCCCTCTGTCCTCTCGGACTGGGTGAAGCATCCATGAGGAGGATGGACTGAGGTTTGTCCTGTCTGGAGGATGAAGGTTGAAGGTTTCTCCTGTGAAGAGCATCAGTGACAGCCTTGAGGTCCTCCAGCACGTTCACAGCTAATCTGAACTTCAGCCTTCCCCCTTGGAGCACAGCCTTGTCCCCAAGTGTCCTTGTTCCAGGGTTTAGGCAGAGCTCTGTGGCACATTGGGACAGAGGCCCCCAGGTCATGTATGCTCTGTCTGGTGACACTCAAGCTCTTACCCCTTCCCAGCACTGAAGACCTCTTGTGAGCTGGAGTTCTAGATCAGATCTGTCCATGGGATGTGCTGACTCACGACTCCAGCCACCAAGTGCTACTTCAGTGTGAATAATAATCCGCACTGAAAAGCGAGGCTCTGAAACACTGGGAAATGCCAAAATACATTTTGCTTGCCTGACCTTAATTTGCCCTCCCTTGTGTCTTTGCCGTGTGACTCACTCTTTAATTAAATGATTGCTGCCCTCCTGACAAATTTCAAACCCGCGTTGCAAAGCACTGGCACATCAGAGCCTTTCAGAGGGAGCACCAACATCTGCACACGAGCAAAATGTCATCTTTCTCCTTCCCCTCTGCCGTGGAAACGGCCGAGTTCTTTGGTCTGACATGACTGCACGTACTTTAAATAACTGGATGCTGCTGAGCATCTTTCCCCTGCAGATATTACACGGTGGCCGTGCCCCAGATGCCACGTCGGATGGGACAGGAACCTCTCGGGGGTCAGGATGCGGTCCTCAGCTGAAGATGCTCAGCCAAAATGCTGCATCCTCTTGGCAGGTGCTGACTGTGCAGGAAGGGGGAAGGTTCGTCGTCCTCTGGGACTTACAGTCAGCTCTCCTCTCCCTCAGGGTTTCGCACAGATGTGGAGCATGTCCTTCGTACCGCTCACTGCGATGCCTCTACAGAAAATCCAGGAGCGCTGCTTTTCCCCCTGGCCTCCCTTCCCAGCCCCCGGTAACGCTCATGAGAGCATCCGTTTTTCGGCGGCGTATGCAAATTCTGATTTGTGAGCACAATTACCTGCTTTGTATGCACAAAACCCATTCACTTCCACATTCGGCGGGCACCGCTTAAGAGACCTGCTGGAGAATCGGTCCCTTAGGGCCAAATGCTGGAAAAAACAGCCTCTGATTTTGTGCTGTCAGGCTTGCCGGAGCGGTGGCATAAAGGAGATGGATGGCTACCTTGATTAGCAGGTGCAAATGCGTTGAATTTTTTCCCCCCCATCTATAAATCAGGTGCTTCTCCATTGAAATTCTCTCCTTTGCATCCGCAATTGATGGTAACCCCCCCCTCCCCAAAGCAATAGTCACAGGCTCGGGAGGACCAAATGAGATGTGGTAGCCAAGGGTCTTTTCTGGAAATTGGCAGGAGTTAAAAAAATAAATAAAAAGGTTTCCATCATTTTCCAAATGGGCTAGATTGTCACCAGAGCTGCAGATGGTGTTCCTGTCCGGGTAGGACAGGGGTCTTGCGGGCAGGAGACAGATGAAAGTCATTTTTAAACAAAGCCCATTTTTTAAAGGCAACCTGTTAAGGGGATTTGGAGGTTGCAGAGCAGAGCATGTAAATCAGGAGATGACCCACCTTGGCGAGAGTATCTTTGTATTTATGAAAACAGCCGTTTTCTCCCCTAGTTCAATTTAATATCATGCAGCTTTTGTGCACATCAAGTAATATTTGTTTGTTCTCGTGCACTTGTGCTATTTTCGCTGTTGGAGGATCCCAGTGTCTTTATTGACTTAGACTTTTATAAGATGAGGTTCTGTCTCTCTAAGGTACGTAGTTTAATAACTTGGTCAAAAACCATGTAATATACGATTTCTTTTCCTGTGGCGGCACAGCTTGCCTGGTGCACCAAGTAGGGCAGGAGGCAGTTAACTCCCAAGCTAATTTAGCTTGGGGC